AGTACAGGATCTGCTCTTGAACTTTTAAAATGTGCTGTGAACATTCATAGTTTAGAATAAAAGTAATGTTTGAGGGAAGAATAGGTTTGGGGGTTGTTTTTTTCAGAAATATATTGTTCCTGATCACTTTATGGCATGTATTTCTCAAAGTTTTTTATCATTATTTGCTATCATTTTAGCAAGTTTGTGACTTCTGATTTTTATGGTATTATATAATTATAAATTGAGTCATGTTTTCAGGTGAGAAGACAAGTCCTGATGCAGTACACAAAAATATTATGTATTAAGCTATCAACTATAGCGGGAAAACCAATAAGCCTCAGTGAGTCAAACCAGAGATATTTAATGTTAAATTGCTGTTGGACTGACATCAAGGGCAAGATTCTGATTGCCTGCTTTACCCACCTAAATCAGATTTACTGACTCCACCCCAGAGATGTCCAATTCTGCAAACAGATTTGGGGCATCAAATTTAGGCACTGATTTTCTCTGTACAGCCAGGAGAAATCCATGGAGCAGGGCAGTCAGCTCTGGAAGAAGATTTAAAATGTCTGAATGAGCTGCCAACTTTGCTATTGTCTGTATACAGAACAAAGAGCAGCAAATTAAACATGCCACCTCCTCTATGCTACAAAAAATGGGGTTGCTGCATGCAAACTGCGTCCTGGAAGTGGTTCCTGGAGAATGTTAACTTCCAGACTCTGCCTGGGAATCGTTTGAGGGAGTGCTTGGAGTTGGGTCTTGACAAAGCATGTCTGTGGGAGCTATTCAGGGCTCCTGCACACCATCCAGCTTTTTGGAGAAGCACCATCTTTGCTTGGAAGTAAAAAGAGGTTTATGAAGAAAAAAGAATGAAATGCTATTTTAAAGCAAGTTTAGGGAGATGCTATTTCCTTTAACTCAAATATGTATTTCTATCAGCATCAAATACACTGATTGTTTATAATAAAATGCTTTATTTCTGATGATGTTTAGCTTTGAAATATTTTTCTTTCATTTTAAAATGAATTAATAAAACACTTTAAATGTGAGATTAAAGATAGCTTTAATCTGAGGATCTAAAAGGATCACTATTCAAATGTTTCTCAAATCTGTCTAAGGAGAATATTCTTTGCAGGGGTGTATTGGAGGTAGGATACTGGTATAATGCATTACACAAATTTTAAGAAATTAAGAGATTTTCAGACAGAGTATTAGGGTATTTCCTAAAAAAAATTTAAAAAAAAAAAAAAAAGGAAAGGAAAGAAAAGGAAAGAACCTTCTAAAACATTCAGTCATGCTTTACCGAATCACTAAAGACTAAATACTCCCCAAATAATAAAAAATTAACAATCAGTGTTTGCTATAATGTGCACTTCCTGAAAAGCTGGACCTTAGAAAGGGGACGGTCAGAGAGACTGAATGTCTATATTCGTTGAAATCAAACTGTAAAGTCAGATATTTGAGAGGTTATCAAAATTAGAAATTCTTTTCCATTAAAAATCTTTTGCTTTGATGAGCTTTTATGTAACAGTACCCATATGACCAAATAAATTATAAACCACACTTTCTTGTTATTTACCTTTTCATTAATATATTGCCATGAATTTCAATACCTCCAGTACATGCAGGTGTATGACTCTGTCCTAAAAAATATAGCCATTATGAAGTAAATATGAGTGGCAATCAGTCACTGAAAACCTCTCACCATTATCTTCAACTTTATGATCCTTAAAAATTGCAGTGGGGAATCCTTATTTAATGTATAAAAATAACATCTAATAGCTGGAAAATGTTTTAAGTTCCTTTCAATTGCAGGTTACAAGATAATCATCTTGTGGGAACATGCCTCAACATTTCCATGTATTTGAGGTTGACAAAATGAAATGTCTCCTTTAATTCTTTTGGCAGTTGAAGAAAAGTGATTGAAACCTTTCGTTACACAACCTTCAAGATTAAGTGATCACATCTGTTGAGTAGTTTTTGAAGGATGTAGTATAGATTTGGGTAATTAGCTAGAAGCAGTTTTTTTTCCATTAACTTGTAGGCAGAGTACTGTCTCCAAAGTTTATTATCAGACTTAAGAGCTGCAAATGATGTTATCAAAGTTCAAGCCACTTGATGATGGCATACTTTTAACATTTTCAAATACTCCCCGTGCAGTTTCCTTGCTGTCTAAAATAATCAAGCAGATAATGGATTTCACATTTCACAGTAATGGAAAACTGTCAGGAACATTCTGAGGCATTAATGACTGTGGGCACAATATGCCCTTCAACTGTTTTCATATGAAGGAGAAACACGTAGCTTTTGCCCTGAGCAGTTGCATCTTTTGAATGAATGTTGCAAACAATACCAGTTAATTTGCTGATGTGCTGATGTGGTTCATATGAATGTCTATACATAATGGATTTATTTTGTTGCTTCTGCAGAAGCTATCTTTGAATTTATTCACAATAAAAAAGGTTTCAGTTTTGCTCTTCAGATCTTATTATGCTAGAATTATTTTTATGATCTGCTGTGGTGCAAGCTATCTTGTATCTGACAATCCATTGCAAACAAATGAGAGACAACTTCTGCATCTACTATGGAAAGCCTTACAGCAGCTGTTGCAGTCTGTACTGATCTGTGCAAATCATTTTTCTCACTCGTTCCATGAAATGCAAAATATCTCGTCTCTTGGGTGGAATGCTACTACTAAAGTAATTGTTACAGTCAGGATTCATGGTGGGCTGCAATTCAACCAAAAAACAAATAAATATCAGCATATCTGGCTCTGTGTCAGACCGTGTTCATTGTGTTTACTCTCTATTGTTTGCGTATTGAGCAAATAGTCTTTAGACCTTATGCCTTTGACAGGCAGTATTTATCTTTCCATGCCAAATAACTGCACACGCAAGAAATGCCTAGCTGCACATTTTTAAGGTTGACTCGGTTTGCTCCACCGAGCAAATATATATATTGAAATATATATATTTCAAATATATGTTTTGCACTGTAATGCTCGAGACTGTAACCATTCTTAGCTTTCTTAGGCTTTAGAGGCACTGTGTATGTGTAAATGATTTCTGTTTGAAGCTAGACACAGAATTTGATTTCAATAAAATTGATCTTTCATTTTCTTACTCTTCAGTAAGGGGAGTTCAACTTCAGAGAGTCAGATGAGAAGGATTGAGTCTAGAAAAATACTTTTCTGCCTCACCGTGACCAGGTTCTTCAGGCATCCTGAGATCACAGTCACCGTCTGATCCACTACTGAGGGAACTTTCCCCTCACTTTGCAACTCCCAGAGTCCTTGCCTGAGATTAAAGAGAATTTGGTTTTCTCAAGTCCTTATTCTGTAATTTCCTCAGCACTTCCAAAGACACCAGGAAGGAAATTCATATGTCAAAACTGAAGTCCATGTAGAGTTCTCAGAGCACCTGTTTTGTAACAGAAACCAGCTCTAACAAAGAACAAGCATTTCCTGATTACATGGCTATTGTAAACTTCCCAGACATTTCCAGTCTTGCTTACCCTTTCCTCAGCTGTGTGCAAAGTACAAAAATACTGCATTTCAACAAGAAATGTCTCGAGCATCCCTGACTTATTTCATAGGTGCAACTCAAGGTGTTTGAACTTTTGGAGTTGTATTTTGTTAAAAAGCTTAGGTTCATGTAGGCTGAATTCTTCAGGGTTCTTTAGTGTTTCTCTATAAAATCCTACTCAGTTGTTTTGGATGTCCCCTTTTTTATATAAGAAACGAAATAAAGAGAGTCACTAATAATAAACAATAATAAAAGTCAACGTAGAAGGGGATACACAGAGCTAACCAAGAGGAAAACATACGCACGCACATTTAACGGAGCATTGCCTGAACTAGGACTCCTCCATGGGCATCTGTCCTCTGGGGATTCAGACCCTTAGGTACTTTTGGAAGAGATCACAAGATAGAAGAAGAAGGTCTTGTCCCTCACAGCACTGTCATTCGACTTCTTCTGAAAAGGTGGAACCTGGATTCTAGACCCTCCTCAAATGTGTACCTGTACCTGTACATGTACGTGTATATGTATGTGTATGTGTACCTATATGTGCACATGTGTGTTCATGGGAAAGTGTGGCAGGGCGGCAGCTCCTAGTTTGTGGGAGAGGTTCTGCTCACCTCCCAGCTCCCAGGGATGGCGGATGGTCTCAATCCCTTTTGCTGAAATTTGAAGGAATGTGAAGGGACTCGCAGCAAAGATTTTTTTCTCAGTTGTGTAAGAAGGAGCCTTATTGTGTGGCCACTAGGCTACACCATCTACTGGAAAATGAAAACCATTCTTTCACACCTCTGTGGGCTAAAGTATGCTTGCAATCCAACAGGAACCAGTTTGTCCCTGACGGTCAGTACATAATGTGAAGTTTCTTAAGTGCTAGTAATGGGTCATTCTTTTTGTCCTTTTTCAGTGCCAGTTGGTAACATCATCGGGTAAAGATGAACATTAGACACTTATAAAACTATAAAGGCATAATTTCTAAACAGTCATTTCTGTGACTCAAAGACGTTGATGACAAACAAAGTATTTTACGTACTTTATTAGTAATGAAAATATGCCTCAAAGACATGACTTCACTTACAACTTGCATAGCTCCGTGAATAAGGAAAGAAAGCTCCTCTCTTTTCTCTTACTTGTTGAATAGATTGAATATCTACAAACTAAGTAGGAAGTTACGATTACGTCACCAGAAGTAGTAACAGCCTCTTAAATACTGCTTGATGTTCTTGTGAAGTAGAAGAAATGAAGACTTAAGAATAGTCTTGAAAAGAACTTTAAGGAATAAAAGCATGTAGATTTTTTTAAAAAGCTAGACAAATAATACTTTAGAAACCCTGACCTTGAATGACAAAATACAGTGGTGCTACACTCAAAGCATGTATTAGAATAACTCATAAAAAAGTGTATTCTGCTTCTTGCGCATGTCAGTTTTTCTGTTTGCATTGCTGCACTAAGTTCAAGGCACAATTTTTATGGTTTTGGCTTTTATAAAGACAATTATACAAAAATACACTACTAGTAAGGCAAATATTAAAAACAAGATCAAATCCAGTATACTCAAATATTCATTGTCAGGTATCTTCTGGGCATAGACCAGAAATTAGTATAACATTGTCCACTCCAATTTCTCCAGTTTTGCCCTTCCCACGTTCTGATTCAAAAGTGACCTGTCATAAGAAAACAGATGTATTAACAGTCAAAATGTAGTTTATCCAACCATTTAGCAACTCTTAATGTTAATTAGTTATAATGCTGTATTTGAGGAACACTTTATCACAATACAGGACTTAACGACTTAAATCCTTGCAGTTTTTAGAGTTTCTGTGTACTATTTGAACTAGACTGATAATCCTCTGCACAGATTTACAATACCAAATGGATTCCTTTAATAAGATTACTTATTTTCATTGTACAAAGAAAATGCAAATTGAGTGAAATCCTATTATAATAATGTCGTTTTATCACAGTATGTGATGTTAGTGTACTCCTTTTGAAGGCATTAAAACTGTTTGGTTTTGATCTATTTGGATCCTCGGTTTTGGGGTATATATACTTTATATATACTACATATACAGTATATATACAATATATATATATTTACTCTCTATCCATAGTATGTACATATACAGTATAGTATGTATAGTATAGAGAGAGGGTAGGTTCAGTTTTTATCTTATAGTCTGATTTTCATGTATGCAAGGGCTTTTCTACATCATTCCAGCAATGCAAAGAACCTTGAGAAGAGGTTGCATTTCATTTATACTCACAGTATTCAATTATACAGTAGAAGCCTTTACACAGCACTGAAAACGTTCTGTCACATAAATGAAAACCAGGCCATGGAGTGTCAAGGAGAAACTTGCTGAGGCCCTGACTGAGGCAGTTTTCAGACGTACATCAGTGCACAGTGTTGCCTGTTGGCTCGCATGTCCTGCTCCTACGGTGATTGCTCACCCTTGACTATACATGATGTCTCCTTTTGCACTGGTTATCTGGTTTAGTGTAGTTTGAGAGCATCCTCTTCTATGAAACAGGGGTAATTTTCGTTTTTTCAGGAATATATGTATGCTTCTGTTGCATGAGATATGAAACAATTTTTCACTGTTTACGTTAATTTATGATCTGATGCAGTTTTTACAAAATGACAGGATTACTGGCATCAGTGTTCTAACCAACTAGGGTAATTCAGTTCTGAAATTACAACCAGAGAGTAGCTTTTCTGCCTCTTAAAATCTGTGCTCCTGTTTCCCATTTCAGATAAGCCTTTCAATTGCTCGTAAGGGATGCCTATAAAACAGTTGGTGGAACACTTGAGGATTAGAAAATTAAGCTGTTATGTTGATTATGGTAGTTGGTTTATAAATTGTGTTACACTTACACTGTTGGTTGTTTCAGTCCCCTGAAATATATCTATTTTTCCAGTTCTCCACCTTTCATCTTTCCCTTTGTTCTGCTCCCAGACAGGAGTGGTTTTTTTGTTTGCCAGGAACACTCGAAGTTTCCCCACTCTCTCGCCAGCAAGCCGATAACTGAAAATCAAGCAGTAGCTGCTCTTTGGTTTGAGGTCGGTGAGGAGAAGTTTTAGACGCCCCATATCCTTCTTGTGCCCCACAAAGGCTGGAACAGCCATGTAGTACCCATCGCCTTGTAACAAAAAAAAAAAAAAAAGAAACCGGACTTCAACGGACTGGCGTTATTTATTAGCAAATTGAATACGTATTCACTAAGAAAATATGTGGAAGCTGTGTTACTTGAATATTTTAAAATCAGGCTGCAGAAATGCAGCAGGGAGTATATTTTATAAGGAATAAGCTGGCACTGCTGGAAGTCAGATCAGTTTACGGAGGAGATGAGTTCATATTTCATTGGCAATTACAGTCATTCTTCCTTGTGCTATCTTTCAAAGGCAAAATCATCTCAGTTTTTCAAATGCAACAGCCTGAAACATGCTACTGTGCCTCTGTGGTCAGACCATTTCCAGCACTTGAGCTAGCTCATTATGTTCTCCACTATACCCTGCAGTGACGACAAACTCATAAAGGAACTGGTAGCTTATTCCCCAAATCCTGAAGGACCAATGGAATGACAGAGACCCACAAAGTGATAAAAGGGCAGAAACATCTGGGCCCATAAATAAAGCCAGAATCAGCAGATACAAGTTTGGGGAGACAGGGTAAGGTCAGGGTAAAGTCTTCCTGGAAGTGGCAGGACAGAGAAGGGACTTGGGGAAAAGGAAATATATAAAGCAGGAGAGGAAGGATTAGTGAAGAAAGACTGGGATGGAAAGCCCGTGAAGGAAGGAGGAGAGAATGTGTGCGTAGGAACTGGAGCAGGTAGCCTGCAGGATGTGCAGGATCCACCAGTCCCAACTGCAGCAGCTTCGGCAACATTTCCTCTGTCACAGGGGAACAGACATCCTTTCAAACAAGTTTCTTCAACCACATCTTTTTATATACACCAGCACAGCAGTCACACATTGTGCTCACAGAGCTCGTTCTCGGGTTTAGCAGGGCTGCCATCGGTACCAGGTCAGGTATCAGTTGCTCTTGAATAGCCCCCTGCCCTTGGCTCATTCTGAGGAACGCCGTCACCACTTTGTCTTGCAGAGTTTGAGATTTCTGAGCAGTTATCACAGTGCTGTCTAAGCCGTGTGAGTGACTACGTTGCCACATCTGTCTACATGGCAGATGTGTGGTTAAATGCCCTACCAGTCTTGGAGACACAATGCATAACTAATAAGGCTTCCATTGCCTTGTACCTTGACATTCTGAACAGTTATATTCTAATCTTTTTGCTCATAGTTTGATACATTTGTGTTGAAATATGTTGCTGATTACCAGTTGCCACTGGATATTTCAAAGAAACAATTTCCACTCCCAGTGTTCTCTGCCTCCTTTTTTCTTTTATAAAGATAACCTACTGATAGGAAAGCTAATTCCTGATTCTAGTTCCCCTTTCGCCCCCCTTTTTTTGGAGCAGGTGAGCCATCAAATCAAAGCATAGCGAGAGGACAGATATTTAAATACCTCTATCTCGATCAGCAGGATTCCAGTCAAAGTCATCATCAGCATCTTGTTTCCAGTCGCAGACCCCTCGACTGAAGCTGCAATCAACTGAAAAAAAAAGTCGGCAATAGAGACTCGGAGGTAAGAGGAGCACTGTATCATAAGTACTGATAAAAATAATTTGCTCTTTATTCACCCAGTTATGAATGCATAGGCCATTCTAAAATTATCTACAATCTGAGTTCAGATAGTGTTGACCTAGATTAAATTGCAGACATCAAAACATTAGAATTTATGTAGTTATTCTTTCTTTAACTCACAGGAAAATCTGTCGTGTCTTTTTACTGCCAATCTCCCATCTGCACATGAAGTTATATGCTGTGACTTCTGTATACTGCGTGCCTACTGATTGATCGCCAGGTATAGTTGGAGGTGTTAATTTTGAACTCTAGCGTCATAAATGGTTTGGGATCTGCCAGCTTTAGAGCTTTCCTCTCTCCATGTATGAAACTGCTGTAGCTGTAATCAGCTGAGATGCTCAAGCTCCAGTTCTGTCTGTTGAAAGGTAGAAGCTGGCCTCCCACGAGAGGAATCCTTTACGTCAGGTCAGCACTTGATACTCATACTACATGGAGCTGGGAATAGCCCAAAGCAGTTGATCTCTAGAGCACACTGAAAAAGGGTGTCACCCAGAGCACACCACAGCCTTCGTGACTGTGCAGATGAAAAGCACTACGTACACAGAGAAAGAAACACTGTCCAATGCAAGCATGGCAGATGTGATTAAGAATAATACGTCAGCCGTCTGAATTTCCTCAGAAAGAAGCATCCTTCTCGTTCTTTTCATGTATTTTATCATGAGACTGAGAAGTGCAGTACATGGCATTTAGGGAGCTTTTCTGCATAAATCCATTCTTTCTGAGACTACTGCTTTGTCAATTGGAAAAAAACCCCCAGTATCTCACCCTTAGTGTCAGCCAGCACATCTGTCTGTTTTGTTTAGTTTTGTTTTCTTTAAGACTTGGAAGCATTTGTGGATTGTTTTGGGGTGAAACCCCACCTTGTCCTAAAAATAATCTCAGCTTAGCCAATGACAGCCTTTCAGCCCCTGCCCACTTGGCTGGTAACTCTCCAGGGGGATGCTGCTGCCCTGTAAATGCATCAGCTCAATACAGTCTCTCTGTCCCCCCTTTTGGATTCTGCCTTTTTCTGTGGCTCTCATAAGCAAGTCCTTATAGTCAGCTTCATGATTCTGTCCATCACAGGGAAACTGTTTTCCACCAGGAAAGAGGGGGAGAATGCTCTTTGATCTGCTTTTATACTCTGCTTTGACCAGAGCTACACTGCAGTCTGTTATAGTTCCCAAAAGGCAGTGAAGTTTTCCATTTGAAAATGCATGAAGCGCTTTTCTAAGGCTTAAGTTGTGCATGTAAATTGGCAGGTCTTGGACCTTGTATGCTCCCCTGACTAATTATACACGAATTTTTTAATGTGAGAAAGAACAGGTAGTATCATCTTACTCTGATATCCACAGGACTTACTGATGAATTGGGAACTATCATAAATTCATAGCCAGGCTATTTAAGATTCAGGGTAAATGTGTATTCAATCTTGTTCAAGGGAAACTCCTATTGACTTCTGACAGAGGACCAGGAGAAAAAACAAGAAAATATGGCTGAAGGACATTGTTAAAGTATGTTTTGAAAAGGACACAAAGAAAGCTTCTCACATTGGAACTGGCAGAGTGGTTTGGCCAGATACTGTCTCTAATGCGCTCACCAAACCTTTGTTTTATCTTAAAGGCTTTTAATCTGGTTCTGGCTTGGCTAATATATGTAAAGACACAGTATCCAGGAAAATAAATACTGTAGAATAAAAATAATCTACCTTCTTGCTCTGGTCTCGACACTGGAACTTTCCTCTGTGCCAGGAGAGGGCCGAAGGCAGCTGCTTCTTTCACCTTGGGAACTAGGGAAAACAACTTGTCAAGTGCTGAGCCATCATGCATCAACATCATCTGTCATCAACAGAAAATGGAACTTTATTCCTTTACACCAGTTGCCATCATTTATTTAAATAACTCAATGTATGTGTTTTCCACTCTACCACCAAACTCACATTCCTAACCCCAGTTAGATACTAACTCTGAATTTCAAAACTTGTTTAAATTGCTGTTTTCCACAGCACTGTGCCTTCTAAGCTGTGGGCAGTGGATCTACAAGATTCACAAGGTCATAAAAAGTTGAACATGATCTTTCTTTGGCGCGGTGATCTGCTTTCTTGTGACAAAACTTCAATTAATGATAGAAGTACCTGAACTCTACCAGACAGTGAAGACAACGACTCGACAGCTTGGCAGCACTTTGCCAACAGCAGCTTCAAAAAATGGGTTATGTCAGAGGCTCAGTAAAAGCCATAAACGTTGGGGGATCAAAGACCCACAGCTCTGTAGTCAGGTTAAGTGATAGCTGGTGCTGCTGTAACAGAATCCCCAGGAAATTATTTTTCTGAAGCCGTACTCTCTGCTGGGGTATGTGTTCTTCTACAAACCTGATCAGCTCTGCTGCCTGTTGGGAAGGAAGGGTGCAGCGACTGCCCTACCTCTTCCTCACCCTCTCTGCAACAGCGAGCAAGCACAGCCTGATGTTTTGATAAGGAGCCCTGGTGGAAACCCCCAAACAAGTTCTTCTGTAAAAATTGGTTGACGTGCCTTGTGCCAAACTGGAAGAGTTGGTACAGCAGCACAGTCAATGAATGTTAGGTGCATTCTCTAAGATAATGGCCTAAAGGAGGTAGTCACTCAAGCAGCACTATTTTTCAGCAGCAGCCTCAGAGACCAAGGCAAAACCTCTTCTGTCTGATGAGCTACAAAGATACAGAAGCTTCCAAACTCTTATTTACTCTAAGTAATACTCTAAGTACTTTTAAAGTTCTGTGACTAAGCTGCTTTTGTACTATTTGTAGTGATTAATAGAGAAGTGCACTCACTAAAAAAGGATAGTCTCCACTTCTTTGTGCAGAGCCTGTGTAAGTTATTAATCCAACATGAGATAAGGGGAAGCTCAGCTTTCACTGGCAGAGGATTCCATCCTTTGCAAACACATATGCAGATGTACCTATGATATATACATACACACCTATGAAAACAGGAAGAGCTCAAATGTGCCATTTTAGAGGAGTGAGGGAGGATCCTTTGGATTACTGCTTACGGAAGGTGTTAGCGGAAAGCCTGACAGACTGAAGTTCACTTTTCAGCCACACCATGTGGGGAGCAGGAAGAAAAGTTCAGACTTCCTCAACAGTGCCAGATGATAGGAGCTATGGAAATGGAAATTACTTTTCCCTACTCAGCATTATATCATACACGCTATTAGAAAGTCGCAAATGCCAAATATTTTAAAAGTTACTACTTTCACATGCACGCACGTTTGTTCAAAGGGGAATTTGTTCCTGTGAGCTCCACTGAGCTTTCCATCGAAATACTCCAACATACTCACAGTCGTGAACACATACTCAATTTTAAGAATATACTTATAACCCACTGCAGCCCAGAGCCTCCTAGCACCATAAAGACTATGTCATCTACTTAACCTTTCTTCTCCTTCAAAACTGTCAAAAATTGCTCTGTGTGTAGCCCAGACAAAACACACATTTACAAAGAGGCCCTGGAGGCACTTCCAGAGGTGCTGAATTGAGCCGAGAAAGGAGACTCATGCAATCATACGAGCTTTCTGATGAATTGCCAGGAGCGTGTCCTCTCTTGTTGCCCTTGCAGCCTTCCCCTCACCCAGACCATTGCTTAAATCACCTGGATAATATTCTTACTTAAGGCAAGGATTAATATATCTTTCTCCAAATTAATATATGTCTACATATACACATTTAGGAACAGGCACATAGAGATTAGGTGTTAAGTTCACTGTCATGCTGTAAACTTGGCCTCATACTTCGTGAAAGAGGCTCAGGCTGTGAAAACCCTTGCCAAAATGAAGAGAGCTATTAAAATATGATCAATTCTGGAAAGAGCGGAGTGATTTAACAGAAGACAACAGCTGCCAGAATGATTTATTTATTGAGTTACCGAATTACACTTGAATTCACTTGAGGGGTATACATGCAGGTGTAGCTGTGTGCTCCAGATGCTTCAAGTGAAGAACTTTCATACACATAAAAAGAGCCAAATTTTGTATCCAAATCTATTTTTGTTTTCAGTGTCAGGCATTACACTCAGGTTCTCCACTTACTGGAAGATATCACCCGCATATTATGAGAAACTGTAAGCTTCAGTTTACAGAAAGGTTTCCAAGAAACCTTACTTCTTGGAATGTGCCTACATTTTACATCAGACCATCACTGGACATGTTTATCCCCTCTTAAGTACTAGGCAGGAGTCAAGATTGCTCTTTTCAGGTCTTCTGCTGTCAAGTGGTGCTTGCAGAAAGGCAGACCTCATCTCACATTCCCTAAAAACATACACTCACCACCAAAAGCTCACATACGTCCCCCTTTAGGTATAGCAGAGTCTATCCTTTCTGTACTGCTGGTGCCCACCCATCTACTTCTCTGCAGCATTAGCTACTATCTCGTCCCTACATAATAAAACTCTTAGTATCATGGTGCCATACATTCTTAACCATTGATGTCATCATGATACTCTTACAAGGTAAGATGGGTTGATCCTATGAGCAGGAATTAGTGGCAGAGAGAACTAATGCCCAGATCTTCAGAGGTGTCTGTGCAACTACCTACCACCGACTTCCATAGGAGTTGTGTCTATGAATGTCTGTCATGAGTGGACCATGAGTAAATTGGTGACATTCTGGTTCTGAGAACAGCCATCTTGTTGCTAACACAGCCTCTTGCATCTGCAAGAAATTCAGTGTTGCTATCTGCGACATATATCTGAATATTGCCCCTGTTTTGAGGAGGGGGAATCTCTTTGAGCCATGTTAGATGCAGTTTGTCAATTGTATTATATATCAGGAATTGCAGCAAGGAAAGAGACTTTCTGCAAAATAGAATAGCCCCAGCCAGCTCTATCTGGCTGAAAGTACTCCCCTAAAAAGTAACAGGACTTACATAAAACAATTCTGAAACTACTGAGGATGTCTGCAATCATGGAAACACTTCTTAGCAATAACCTCAGAAAATGAGAAAGTAGTGCTGAAAAGAAGCATTGAGACATTGTTCTAGTATAAATGTGCCTAAATAAAGTGCCACGAAGGGGATTTAGAAACAAATTTATACTTGAAACTACAATTCCACTTTGAAAACACCAGGCCTTCAGGGGTCGCTGTGCATAATGAAATAGATGAGGTTTGAGAGCTGCCTCCTAGCCATCCCTTGTCCAGGGACCTTTAGATAGCTAAGTAAAGAAAGATAACAGACGGCCCCTAAAAGAGCTAGTTAGGTTCAAACATATCCTTTCGTGCAGCGCACGGCCGTGTCCTCCTAAACGTGCAGGCAGACACCAGTGCACTCTGCCTGTCACAGAATCACAGAATCACAGAATTTTCAGAGTTGGAAGGGACCTCTAGAGATCATCTAGTCCAACTCCCCTGCTAAAGCAGGACTGCCCAGAGCACATTACTCAGGACTGCATCCAGGCGGGTTTTGAAAATCTCCAGAGAAGGGGACTCCACAACCTCCCTGGGCAGCCTGT